TTTGCATAAGGCCTACAAGTACTAAAAACGCCTTTCTGGGAAAAGCACAAAGAGTAAGCGCGTTTTTCTTCATCACTGATCAAATGAAGCAGGGTGACAGTTATTTTCAAATTAAGAGAAGAGCTGGCAGCTCTAAAATACTGGAGGCCATAAGACCTGCCAAAATGGCAGAGCACCAAATGAATGTAAAAATGAACTAGTTATTAATATTAGGCATAGTAATTGGCAGGTTCTTGATTACAAGGCTAGACTAATTACTGTAATCATTTCGACATTACATATTAGTATTATTATTATTATTTTATTATTAATTATTATTACCTGTACGTATAAGGGGAACTCAGACAATGGAGGAATTAGAGAACAATTTAAAAAACGACGTTTAGCTAGTTATTATTGCTGCGAAGCAGCCAATTCATATTCTTGACAGCAATTTGACCTCTGAAAGGTCATTGTTTGTCAAAAAACGACTGCCTAAGACGACTGAAAAGCGGAGTTCTGCCGGGTAAAATCAATTACTTTAGGCGACGTTTGTAGACTAACCTACTCGTACCAACGTCCGCATGTCGCGCTAGCCTTATCCTACTCTTGGCCTAGACTAGCTAGGATGGTATAGGCCTAGCCATAAAGGGACGAAGGTCCCAATGAAAAACAACGTCGCTCTTTGATAGCTAACATTGTCTATTTAACATCACAATAATTCATTATTAGACCTATAGTTGTTTTTTGAATTGTACTCCACAAATCTCAGCCGATACCTCGCACAACTGGCTAACGTCTCTATCTATTGTCGTGACGTCATGGCTCGCTGGCTCACCAGGGTTGCCAGATAGTCGACAGGCTTCACGGCCAAACACACGCCATCTCACGGCCAAATTCGGCCAAACTTTTTTTCGATATCGGCCAAAATTCGGCCAGATTTTAATCCGATTAGAAGACAACCTGTCTCTTATACAGTGGGTACATTCATTTGAAATACTACAAAAATTATACGAAAATCAGCGCTCATTCGTTTGAAATTGAAGAAATTCAAATGATATACACAGAACAATGTTAAAAATAAATAGCCTCTGTTCTTTAGTTGCTGGCATGCAGGTCAATTCAGGGGCAAATCCAGAGATGTCAGAAAGGGGAAGGCCGGGGCCGAAAAAGGGGAAGGGGGGGGGGCGAAAGTGGGTCCGATCGAGATAACACCATCTTAGAGGAAATTTGTCTTTTCTAGACGCCCAAAAATAACCTGATGCATTAGGCGATCAATTTTTTATTTTTTATTTTTTATTTTTACCACCCCCTCCCCCTTAAATCCACCTCTGCTATTTAAAATCAATATTAAGATTGATCTAAATTTGATTTAAATGCATTTAATATTAATGTACATTGTAGTCGATCTATAGCAACAATTTTAAGGGCATGTTATTGGCAAATCCATGGCTCTCTTTAATTAGAATGAATTAAGTTATATAGTTAGGTAACACTGGCGTTAAAACAAACCTATGAAAATTCGGCCAAATTCGGCCAAATATAGTTTGGCCGTGACTTTCCAAATGCTACGGCCAGGCAAATTTTTATACGGCCAGATTTGAGGAATCTGGCCGTCAAAAAGGCCAAATGGCAACCCTGTGGTTCACACTTGTGATATGTCTCGCACTTGTGATCAAATAACACGCTGGCTCGCACTTTTGCAACACTCTTTGGCAGTCAACTCGCCCCTAGAAAACCCGCCCTTGGAAACTTGCCCCATAAAAAAATGTACACTTCCTAGACCATGCCCATAAAAAAAATGTACACTTCCTAGACCATGCAGTCTTCAAAATAAAAATTGTAACCTTTGGTAATCAACTACATTTTCCACATACATAGACATTTTTGAAACTTTATTTTTAAAAACCTAAACCGTAATTCACCACACTATAGACACTTTTTGACAAAAATGAAAAATTACGACTTTGTTACCCAATGAGAAGTGTTCTAATAATTATAGGCAATGGGTCGTGTCTCATATTATTTGTTATAGTTTTATTATTCATTATTTTCACTTGACTCGCATAAATAATTTTTTTCGAAGAACATTTATATGCAGTTGTACTTCGCAGCACTTCACTTGCAATTTGCAATTTCTAGTTTAGGGTCTAGTATCTGTAGGTTCTTCATTAAGCCTTAGGCCAAGGTAATTAATGCTGAAATAATAATAATTATTATTATTACCTGTACCTTAAGGGGAACTTAGACAATGGAGGAATTAGAGAACAATTATTAAAAAAAACGACGTTAAGGGGAAATAACACAAAAGATATTCCCCTTGTGCGATTATATTTATAGGCCTAGTAAATAGTACGGTATCTGTAGGTTCTTCGTTACAAGACTTAGGCCAAGGTAATTAATGCTGAAATTATTATTATTATTATTATTATTATTATTATTATTATTATTATTATTATTATTATTATTTAACATTAATTACATTACAATGATAGTTTGGACAAGTTCAATAACGCCGGAATGCTATATTATTTATTTAATAATACTTCTCTTATGCGCTCTATTTTTCATTACATGCTTCAATTTTGTCCCATTTTCCCAAAAAAATTTCAGTCCATGTCAGCATGTGAAGCGTGACTGTTGGTGTCAGCCTATGACCACAGGCCTATATAAGGAGGGGCCTAGGTAAGACCTCAGCCCGTAGTTAGGCCTATTTATCCTCTTTCTCTCCAGCCTTTGGTATTACTGCACCTATCTACACTTTATAACAGGAGGTACTCTGTTGTTGTTGTAGACAATATACTAACATTTAATAACATCCAAGAAGGTCACAGTTAGTTACACACGTACATCCCATAACATCCCATAAATCCGTGAGATTTCATAGGCCTACCGTAGGTAAACATAGAAAGAGCAATACAGTAATAGTAAAACTCGAGCGTCACGACATTGCGAAGTGTCTGCTCTTGTTCCTCGTATCGTACTCACTCACTCGTGTCAATCCGAGATGGCCCGAGTGAAGTTTCATGCAAATGTTTCGTACGGAAAAAAAATCGCCACCAGGTCTCACTCTTCCGGCATCAAACAGATATGACCTACGTTGACCTAAATGTTGACCAATCATAATCAAGAGAAGTTTGAAAACTGCAGTACGTACCGTGTAAAAGTCTACTTTCAAATAGTGCTAAACTTTTGGTTATAAAAAACACCTTTGTGTACGTCCTATTTTGGTAAACTTTTAGTATGTTGTTTTACATATAATTAAGTTTATATTTAGATCATAAAACGTTTTGTTGCAATTTTGTCCAGTCAAATCCGTATTTCTGGTGGACTAATTATAGGCCGTGAAGTAAAAAGTTTGCGGAACGCGACGCTGTAATAGAACATATTTTGCGCATGCGCTATTCCCAAGCCTATGTCAGTCTCAATGACTGTTCTGTGCTTCGGTGCAAGGGACCTACTGTTCGATTAAAAAATAATAATAAATAAATACAATTGATAAAATGCGGCTGGACGAATGGGAGGGTTTCAGACGGTCAAAATTATATGGGAATTCAACAAAGGGTCCAGTGAGGACAATGGTCTTTGATGCAAGTATTATACGCTAGATTAGAGCCTTCATTCAGTCTGTTACCGGTATATCAACATCCAGTCTGTTTTATTTTATCGTGAACAAATATTTAAAGTAAACATAAAAGAAGGTGATTTATTTTTTTTTAATGCAACTTGTTTATTTTGTTTTGTACAATGGCGGCGCCAGCGTCTGATGCTCATACAGGCATGAAAGTCAATGTAAATTTTTAATGTTCAAGCGCTTCGAGGTTGTGTCAACGTGATGCGCTATATAAATCCAGAATTATTATTATTATTATACCGCCATCAACCACATTACATTACATTACCAGAGGCGTAGGTTAGTGGTGCTAGGGGTGTGGCCGCATTCCCCCCCCCCCCAAAAAAAAACAAAAACAAAAACAAAAACAAAACCGCAGAAAATGGTCCGCTGGTGTAGGCCTAAGACTCGACCTGCTTTGTACTACAATGGACAATTTGCAGGGTAGCAAGTAAAATCGATTAGGCCAACAAAATTACACATATAACCCTCTGATGTCTTAAAACAAAATAAAAAATAATTTGTTTATCCCATAATATGTGAATAAACACTACAGTAATTCGAAATAAATACAGTGTATTCTTTCCTTCCTATTGTTTACGTGCCAGCGCTAATGTGCCCTCGTACTTGTACGCCGTTGTTACTGTCCTCTATGAGATCTTTTTTTTTACATTACAGGCATGGGCAGTTCAATAATTAACTACGAAGTTCTTTACTGCGCATGCTTGTGACTATGAGAAAAAAAAATCATGAGTTGCAATATCGTAGTATTTAGGTTAAGATTTTCCTGTTTGATTTGTAGAATGATTGATTATATGAAATAAAATTGGGATGCCCCCACACGTACACAAGACAAACAAAAACGTACAATAAATTTTACATTCATTTCTTTATTTCGGAAATGTATTTTTATGGAATAGCTTTAAAACATACAATTTTTAAAAAAAGACAAAATTAAGATAAAAAGACATGATTGCCAATAGCAATACAGACGTCTTAATTTTTTTTCTTAAACTTTGACGAAAAATTTGGTTGAAAATGAGATAAAAAGCTGTTAATGAGATTTCTGAATGTTGAAAAACTTGGGAGAAATATGAATCTGGCCCCTTCATTACGCCAATGATCCATTATTCACAATTTTCGCACCCTCACAGATGGGAACTACCATACGCCGCTGAGCTGATTATCTTTGTTTTTGTGAATATTTTCAGTTCAGCTGAACGTCCTTACTTTCGGCCAATCGTCCCTTCCCTCAAACGTCCTTTCGGCCAAAAGTCTGACCAAAGTACTTTTGGTCAGTAGTCTTTCGGCGAAATGTCCATTCGGCCGAACAGTTTGGCCGAACGTCCTGTCGGTGAAAAGTCTTCTCGCCAAACTGTTCGGCCAAATGTCCGTCGGCCAAATGTCTTGGCAAACGAAGAACATGAATAAATTGATTGTGAGTATACAATGAAGCCTATTAGTATTAGGGGTTTTTGGTAGGCCTAACCTCCGGTAGATAATTTGTTCAATAGATTAAAATGTTATTTGTTTACTTCTTTTATAAGCCAATCACCTTTTTTTTTTTTTAAATAGCCATTATGCCTGTCATGCCATGCGGCCTAGGAGGTCTAGGCTTCATTCGTGTTAACCAGCGCCGTAGAGCGAGATTTGTTAGGTTCGCTATGCGCGTTCATACAGTATATCTTGGCCTAGCAACAAAATATTCCATCCTCCGATGTACTGTAGTAAAATCACCCCCAGATTTCAGCTTTTTGCACACGAAACGCAAAAAAAATTGAGGCGCTATCAGTCTGAATAGTTTATCAATTGAATCTTACATTCGTTGTCAGTATACAATGGTATTTTTATTGTTATTCACAGATCCTTTGTTTGTACAGTCATTATCGACAGCTGCTAATAACTCGTTTAAACGATATTGATAATTCCTTTCACATTATTATGGCATAATAATATTATACTCCAGACAGTGAATATGGTTGGCGGTTTCAGTGTCAGGCGTTCATATAGCATAATGATGTTGCTGTTCATGCACTTCTAGCAGATCTTGTGAAAATGTTTGTCCACCTGATGATAATGGTCTATTAGAGTCCGTTGAAATAACAAGTACAGTATATATCGACTATTACGATGATTGATATAATAAGCTCTTTCTGTGTGATATGTAGCAAAGTATTAAATATACTCTGTAGAACCAGGAGGTATAGGCATACACATACACGTATGCATGGAATTGAGTCCAGCTCCACAGAGACCGGTCCAAGTACACTCTGTCTCTTATACACATCTAGATGTGTATAAGAGACAGGGACCTACTGTTCGATTAAAAAATAATAATAAATAAATACAATTGATAAAATGCGGCTGGACGAATGGGAGGGTTTCAGACGGTCAAAATTATATGGGAATTCAACAAAGGGTCCAGTGAGGACAATGGTCTTTGATGCAAGTATTATACGCTAGATTAGAGCCTTCATTCAGTCTGTTACCGGTATATCAACATCCAGTCTGTTTTATTTTATCGTGAACAAATATTTAAAGTAAACATAAAAGAAGGTGATTTATTTTTTTTTTTATGCAACTTGTTTATTTTGTTTTGTACAATGGCGGCGCCAGCGTCTGATGCTCATACAGGCATGAAAGTCAATGTAAATTTTTAATGTTCAAGCGCTTCGAGGTTGTGTCAACGTGATGCGCTATATAAATCCAGAATTATTATTATTATTATACCGCCATCAACCACATTACATTACATTACCAGAGGCGTAGGTTAGTGGTGCTAGGGGTGTGGCCGCATTCCCCCCCCCCCAAAAAAAAAAAAAACAAAAACAAAAAAACAAAAAAAACCGCAGTAAATGGTCCGCTGGTGTAGGCCTAAGACTCGGCCTGCTTTGTACTACAATGGACAATTTGCAGGGTAGCAAGTAAAATCGATTAGGCCAACAAAATTACACATATAACCCTCTGATGTCTTAAAACAAAATAAAAAATAATTTGTTTATCCCATAATATGTGAATAAACACTACAGTAATTCGAAATAAATACAGTGTATTCTTTCCTTCCTATTGTTTACGTGCCAGCGCTAATGTGCCCTCGTACTTGTACGCCGTTGTTACTGTCCTCTATGAGATCTTTTTTTTTACATTACAGGCATGGGCAGTTCAATAATTAACTACGAAGTTCTTTACTGCGCATGCTTGTGACTATGAGAAAAAAAAATCATGAGTTGCAATATCGTAGTATTTAGGTTAAGATTTTCCTGTTTGATTTGTAGAATGATTGATTATATGAAATAAAATTGGGATGCCCCCACACGTACACAAGACAAACAAAAACGTACAATAAATTTTACATTCATTTCTTTATTTCGGAAATGTATTTTTATGGAATAGCTTTAAAACATACAATTTTTAAAAAAAGACAAAATTAAGATAAAAAGACATGATTGCCAATAGCAATACAGACGTCTTAATTTTTTTTCTTAAACTTTGACGAAAAATTTGGTTGAAAATGAGATAAAAAGCTGTTAATGAGATTTCTGAATGTTGAAAAACTTGGGAGAAATATGAATCTGGCCCCTTCATTACGCCAATGATCCATTATTCACAATTTTCGCACCCTCACAGATGGGAACTACCATACCTGTCTCTTATACACATCTTACATCCCATAAATCCGTGAGATTTCATAGGCCTACCGTAGGTAAACATAGAAAGAGCAATA